GGGGGGTGGGGGGGAGAAACCCTCGGGGGGGGTGGGGGGGAGAACCCCTCTCTCCAGAGAAGGTTGTGGAGTCTGGGATGGAGACCTCTGTGCAGCAGCAGCTCCAGGATGACACCCTATAGGATCAGCAGCACCAAGACAAGGAGGAGGAGGACACCAGGAACACAGTGACTCTGACCCTGACCCTGGAGCCAGACACCCAGACGTAGGAGGCCTCTCAGACAACTTCGGACACTGGAGAGGGAACATCAGGTGAGTGCTGTGAGGGTCCAACACACGCAGGGCAGGTGGGAGCAAAGTGGATGGTGCAGTGCTGTGACGGGTCATGCTGATCACAACCTGGGTGGGCCCCACACATGGCCCACCATAGGGAGGGCCGTCCTACTCCTGCACTCGCATGGGTGTGAGGCGCCACCTGCTCCTGCAGAGAGTGATGCCAGGTGCAGGCATGGGTTGGGGACCCTGGGATTGCCACACAGCTTCAGGCCTCTCAGCAACCTGTGGGAACCCCAACTGTGGCCTGACACTTGGCCCCATGGTGTGTGTGGGGGGGAGAGGGAAGGCAGGATGGTGGCCCGCACACCTTCTGGGCTCTAAGGAGGCCGTGGCTGCTGGCCAGGCCACACCACACCTTGCTGAGACTACATGAGCAGCCCCTGACCCTAGGACAGGCACTGACTGCTGAGAAGGGGGGGCAGGCCCTCTCAGGGAAAGTGTGAGCATGCATGACTGACTTTTCCCTCTTGTCCTCCACAGCTGGACCAGCTGTCCAGGAGGGGAGCGCCATACCTGTCCCACCACCTGGCACACATACTTGGACCTGACGCGACAGCACATCTCGGTCCTGCAAGGAATGCAGGAGAGAATCACACAGAGGATGCAGGCAGAGGCAGAATGGCACAGTCGCTTGCTGGACGAGTTTGTCCAGCAGCGCACTGCAATTTGCGCTGGTATCTGGGAGGTGATGGCCTTCCTCGGTCCTGTGCATGTTCCTGCTCCTCCTGATCAACCTGCCTCCCCCCCACCTCCTGTCCCCCCTTCACTCCCTGCCATCCCAGACCCACATGTGGCCCTACCTCCTGCCTAGCCCCCTACTGTCCCAGTCCACATGCACGGCCATCTCCGAACAGGCTCACCCGAGGTGGCAGGAGCTCCTCATCCAGGCAGCACCCTCAGCCCCGAGCCTCTCTTCCCCCTTCCAGGTTTACATCCCCCTTCCCACCTGTGAAAGTCAGTAAGAGAAGCACTTTGCTTTGTTAACAAAAAGTTTATTTTTCTTTACAAAACAGTTATATAGGTTTTGTAACATACAACAGTGCAATGAACTGTAAGCATTTTGTCAAGCACACCTGTCTCTTATCTGTGTGAATGTGTACAACATGGGGCAGGGTTGGGTTCTGGGGGGGAAGGCACTGGGGGCATGGGACACACCCACATTTGGAAGGCCCTGGGGAAACTCATTGGGCTCCTTGGGAGAATCTCTCCGTCAGGGCTTCCTGAATGCACAATCCCAACTGGTGGGCTTGGCGGAAGGCAGCTGTCCGGGGATGCTCAAAATGCTTTTCCTCCACATCAGCCCGTGTCCCGCACCCTGGGAGGAAGGCCTCCCCTTTCCTCTCCACCTGGTTGTGCAGCACACAACAGGCAGCAACCACTTTGGAGATGTTGCATTCCCCCATGTCCAGCCAAGTGAGCAGGCATCTAAACTGGCCCTTCAGATGGCCAAAGACGCACTCTACCTGGAAGCGAGCCCGATTCAGGTGGGAGTTAAACAGTTCCCTGCTCGCATCCAGGTGTCCACAGAATGGCTTCCTGAGCCAGGGCATTAGGGGGTACGCGACATCGGCCACGATGCACATGTGCAGATGCCTATCACCGACTGAAAAGTTTTGCTCCGGAAAGAACGTCCCAGCCTGCAGTACATGTATGAGTTCCGGAAGATGCGGGCATTGTGTGCCGGCCTGACCACCCAACACAAATGTCAGTGAATTGTCCCCGGTGGTCGACCAGGGCCTGCAGCACCATGGAAAAGTAGCCCTTTCTCTTAACATACTGGGCTGCTCGATGGGGCGGTGCGCAGATCGGGATGTGAGTCCCATTGAGTGCTCCACTGCAGTTCGGAAAGTCTAGCCCCGCAAATCCAGCCACAATGGTATCCAGGTCTCCGAGGTGGACAGTCCTGTGAAGCAGCTCGGAATTGATGGCCGTCACCACCTGCAGAAAGGGACAAATAGAAACACACATAACAGGACATTAGAGGAGTTGCCTGAGCTGATGAGAGGTGTTTCCCCAGCCCTCCCGTCCCAGCCCCCAAGAGCCCCCCCCAGGCAAATCTCCCTCCCCACCCCGCACCACGGCAGGGTGAGGCCAGAAGGGCTTTTACCACTCCCACCCCATCCCCTCTGCCCAGT